CCTCCCCAACTTAAGACCCTGGTTATGCCACAGTTACCACACAGTTTGTTCAAATTGCTAATTACAATCAACAATTTGGTGACATTGGTCTAAGTAATTGTAAATTTATTCCTTGATATGATTGATCCATTCAGACTGCAGAAATTTGATATGAAAAATTGAAATCTAACTTCCCAAAAAAATACTGACCAGCGTCTCTGAAAACGTAAGTCAATGTATATATACATTACTATACAACCAACTCCATACAGTCCTGTGAGATTTATATTTGAGCCATTGTATTCACTGATAACTCATTAACTTGACTGTAAATGGAGAGTCACAGTTATCAATTTCCTGCATCATTTCTATAATATTTTTTTAGGACAATAAAAGTGGTTGCTGCATCTTGTGGTTTCACATTGTCCAATTCTGGAATAACCCTTTCACATTCCTGTCTAACAACCTGTGACAAGTAATCATCTCCTACATCCATTACTCCAGATAGTTGGGCAACTTCATCAATAGCTTGTTTCCTCAGTTCAAAACCTGTTGATGAACAATCAAAAATCGCCACATGAAAATGACAAAGTACTGTATTTCTGAAAGATTAATCATTCAATTGTAATTCCATACCACAATGTTCAGCACCATATTTTTCTGGGAATGAATACAGATGTCAAGGAACACCTTTGGGCATTTGGGCATCCTTCTGACATCTGACCCTGTGCGAATTCCATATTGTGTCCTTGAAAATATTCAATTCCTTTTGTATGAGAGGGATGAAAACAAATGATATCAGATCCCTAATAGTAATAAAAAAAATTAAACACCAGTTAAATTCCACACATCCATCACAATACTTTTGATCATAATAAGCATGCCTTTGACATTACCAGAATATTTTAGGAAATATTACATTATAAACTCTGCAATTTAATGGGTTAAGAAACTGTAGCCGCAGATTGGGTTTCAATTAAAATTTATACACTACACTAAGAATAATTTATAGCAATGAATAAACACATGCATAAAGCGAGAAAAGCGAGAACAGTGCGTAAAACAAGCCAGATGGCCAGACCAGAAAACAAACCTACCGATCAGTTTGACAATCTGGATCATAATATCCCTGTTCAAGAAGCATCAGTAATTGTCTTTTAAAGAACTTCTCTAGAAGGTGATAAATTTCTCGCCACCAACGCTCAATCTAATTCAATTAAAAAACTTTTTTGAATTACAGACAAAGAGCTATAAAAGGTCAATATTTGATTGTACCTTATTGTTAGTTGAAGGACCATAGTGCACAGTATCACCATCACTGGAGGAGGGGTCCGCATCCTTAATTAGGAATGCATGTATAGTGGACATATTTACAGTCTCAGTCCCTCTATCCAATCTTAAGTGCTTGCTTATAACTGTAAACAAGAATTGTTTTGTTATTAGAAAAAAATTTTGATGGGTAAAATAAATATTAAAATATAAAAGTAAAATATATATTAAAGTTTTTATGCTGGGAGTGCATGCAATTCTTATGAAGCAATGACCACTATAACTAGCTCTATAAGGGAGGGGGTACAAAATATTGCTTCATTCATAAAACCTTTTATACATAAGTAGAGAGAGAGGATGATTAATTTTAGTGAAAATTTTTACCAGGCCAGGGACAAACGAATTGCATAAAGTATATTATTTGTACAGTTTGTATATATTAATTAAATTACCTCTTGTATTATAAAGATGCTCCAAATACCATCGTCCAACAAGCTTGGGGTTAGAATTTGAACTCCACAATTCAAATATAGGATGTAGCCACTAAATACATCTTGCATACCATAAACTGCCAGGGGAAAGGTGTCTTTCATAAATCCCATTAGCTTATCATGTCCATCGCAAGAATGTGTATGATTAGGTCCCTATTTTTAATAAACATGTTTTTTTTAAAATTTCGTTATAATATTCCACATAAAATATTTATTTGGGGTGTGTTTTGAAGTATGTACCTACTATTAAATGCCACTTAAAAATAATAAGCATTAATGCCCATCTGAATATATGTAAAAGATCTAAGCCATAGCAAAAATATAGTTTTAATAAAACATTTTATGGAAAGCTATTAACGTTTCTTCTTTAACTTAAGACATATATTCAATGTGATCACTTTGTATGTCATTGCTCTCATTAAATGTTTTGAACTATATTTTTTGTTATGGCCCTTTCAACTATTTTCATCTGCAATGCCACATTGGTAATGTCTATGACTCTATGGAGTTCTGCTTTGGTACGTGCTGGATATTGGGTTAATAGAAATGTGTCTAATAACCTATTAACTATATAATAACCTATTCATCTAGCAAACACCAAAGCAGAACTCCATCTTTGTTACAATTCTATTTTTTATAGCATTGAATAGAAATTTCTTACCAGTGACGTGAAGGTGCCAGTTGCTCGCCTTCTTCGTTTTTTCTTGCCAATATTGCCACGCCTTTCAAGCCCTTCTACATCTACGACACCCATCACATCATAAACCAGATTACGCGGTACAGCTAGGTTATGCTGTTCTCTAAGTTTTTTATGAACTGCACGGTATCCTAACAACTGTCCAGGACCCTCTAATTCATTGCGAACCGCATCAGTCACGACATGAACATCAATGTCATATTGTATGTACCTAATATCGAAAAACGCCAGCCTTCTACTAAGAGTTCCCAAGCTCCATGCATATTGGGGATAATCACGGGAAACAAAGTCCAAAAGCTCTTTTCTACTCAAATTTTGCAAAACGTAATCACGGAGATCGGCTCTAAGTTGTTCGTCTTCTTCCCAGTCAGTATTCCTTATATTGATCGCCATCTTGAAAGATCAAAATTTAAAATTCCGCGCCCGCAATCCCGCATCGCAGGTTGGTGTACGATTTTGTCGAGTTGGCGCCAAAAATAAAATATACACCAAACTTCAAATGCCAAAGCCAAATTTACCGCACCCCTTCCGTCCCCCAGTAGTTCCGGCCTGATTAAGAGTTCTATATGAAGTATGAACATATAATATATTTTAAAGCTAATGTAAATGCTGTTGTTATACAAAAGTAAAAAGCCGACCTTTGTTTAGTCATTTGCCTGTAAATTGCACACCTTGTTTGTTTTGGATACCAATATTATCTCTCTGGGCTCCATGTAATCATCAAACAAAAACATGATTCATGATTTAGAGTGTATCAAGTATTAAGTATATACTCGGGTAACACGGTTACAAGTGTTACACTATCTTTATTTAGGGTTGGGTTAGGGGTTGGGTTAGGGGTTGGGTTAGGGGTTGGGTTAGGGGTTGGGTTAGGGGTTGGGTTAGGGTTTGTGTGTGTAACACTATGTAACACTACGTAGCACTGGAACACTATGTAAGAATATGTAACATTGTTTAACACTGTGTAACACTTGTATAACAGTGTTACAACTGAGTGCCATAATAAAGCCACTCTAAATCATGCATGGTATAACCAAAAAATAACACCAAATAAATAATAAAATTGATCTTCTTCATGCATACTATATATAAAATTAATCAACCATTAATTTAAAGACCAAAACCATCTATCACCTTATTAAAACATTAATACTCTAACTATATAACACAATGTAAAATATGATTTTCAGTTGAGGCAATTACATAGATATGTTCACAAAATAACCCTGGCTGTTCAAGAGCATTTAATTATATGATCAATATACGAATTATTTCAAATTTGCATGAAACAATGGTGTGTCACTATTTTTTATGAGGTATAGCCAATTTGCCACTTTTCACTAGAGAGGTAATAGAAACGGAGGCAGGATATTTTTTATCACTTTCAAGTTTTGTGCTGGACTCTCCCGTTGCTATGGAATTGCTGAACTCTTTAGCATCATTATGGGACGTTTCTTTATTTTGGTTTGGTGTATTGGTCACAATATTCACAGACGAAGATACAAGTTCAATTCCATTGTAACTGAGTTTACAATAATATATTCCTGGTTCATCAACATTTAACATTGACAAGAACTCTCCGAAGTGAATGGGACTCCCGTTATGGAACCATGTATACATTGTTTCCAGCTTATTGTGCACATTAGTAATGACACCCAGAAGAAATCATTATCTTGGTAACCATTTATCAAATCTGGACCATGGATAATCACTGGGCCACAGGCAGTGTGCACATCAGCTGTTGGAAATGAGTATGAAATCGTCCCCTGATTCTCATCTTCTTTACAACAGTCATCCCGTCTAAGGTAAACAGTATCGTTAGCTGTTACAACACTCAGTAGGAATCTATCAAATAGTGGTATATATTCCTTATTGTTGTAGTCTAGACAATTCTCCGATCGACAATCGTAAGCAGACTCCCACCTGGTCAATAAAAGCATACTGGAACATTCCGAGTATTTTGATTTAGTTATCAACACCAATTCAATCTCGATAATATTCGGCCTTTTCTGTCCTTGTACCCGAAATTGAAAATATTTTCATTCATAACGAAATCGTAGAATGCTAGCTTTAACACTATAAAGTAAATCGAAACAAAATGGCGCTAAACAGTGCGCTAAACAGTGAACAATCATCAGGGGCGTAGGAAGCACCTGGAGTTTGGGGGGGCACCGGCTTGTAGGGGCACATTACTATCGGAAAGGGCACCTAAAAAATTTTTCCTGGAAATGTTGTCGACGGGGGGGGGGGAGAAATTTCTCCTGAGGAAAATTTTCCGTCGTATCATACCGAAATTTATGTTTGCGACCTAATTTTTAAAAAAAAATTGTAAATTTCCACACAAAAACGGCACCTATTGTTTCAACTTAGTATTTACAGCGACATTAGCTTCTACAAAAGGGGCACTTTTCCTCACAAAAAAGGGCACTTTTCAACACAAAAAGGGCACTTTTTATCACAAAAAAGGGCACTTTTAGTCCTATAAAAAAATTGGGGGGGGGGGGGCACGTGCACCCCGTGCCCCCCCCCCGCTTCCTACGCCCCTGACAATCATTAAAACGCGCGAAAAACGCTGACCAGATAATCGCAGGCTAAGAGAACGCTGGGCTGATAGCAACATTTGAATTTCGTTTTGAATTTAAAAACACTGTTTGACGGCCCATTCTTCTCGTTTAGAAACATGTGAAAATCAAATTGAAATTGGCATGTTCCCATTTCTTTTTAATTTTTCTTTTTTTGTGTTTTTTTTTTGTTTATTTTATTTATTTGTTATTTTCATTTTTTAATGGTTTTTAATTTTTTAAATATTTTTTTTATTATTTTTTTTATTTTAATTTTTTTATTATTTTTTTATAATTTTTTTTTATTTTAATTTTTTTATTATTTTTTTATTATTTTTATTATTTTTTTTATTATTTTTTTTTATTTTGATTTTTTTACATAATGTTCCTTTCATCTTGTGTTTTTTCAACGAGAACGATGGGCCACCATAGACGTATCTTCTTTGTTAAATATTCTTGTTCGAATCGCTAACAAAAACACTATTTAGAGTGTTATTTTTCAGCTTGTATCTTTAAATTTGCTTCTTTTATTATGGTATTCCATTTCTGGTGTGACTTGTGAACTAATTTCAAAACGAAGAGTTTCAAAACGTCAAAACATTTGGTTAATGATTAACATTTAACCGAATTTACCCATTGATTGACAGCTACATAAAAATACTAACTAATCCTCTTTTTTTTCTTTCATCAGCGGACGAGTAATTCAAAAACCCCTAGTTTTGCGGCAGACGGTATTTCCTTTGCCTTCCTAATTTTCGCTGCCTGTAGAAATACCGCCTCCCACGCAGGCTATGTTGTGCTAAAAATGTCGAAACATTCGACATTATATAGGTTCCAGTGATGTAACAGAACAGCATCCATATTCAATAGTCTGTGACCTGGTCGTCCAAGGAAATAGTGGAATCGTTTGGGAAATGGTTCGTATATAGACATAATGATGATGATGTCAGTAAATATCTGCGACAATGTAAAGAATCCCAATGTTGATGGGACCACGGTTAATCGAAGGAGACTGGTTAGGCTACTTGTACCACGTGACAAACTATGTTATTCAACCTTGTTTTGAAGGGTCACGTGGTCCGTTCCCTGCATCAGATCTCAATCGCTTATTGAGATAGATAGATAGATAGTTTAATAAAACATTTACATTGCAGCCAAAGGCTGAATTACGTAAAGTTTACAAAATACGAATTATTATTTAAGATCTGCTTAAGATCTGCTTGTAAAAATTTGCTTCAAGAACCAAGGACAACCACGAAAACATATGGCGATAGAACATTTAGAAAGGCTGGATCGGCGTTTTGGAATAGCCTGCCTGATGAATTGAGACTAGAGGCATCTGTTGATATT